TGTGTACATGAAACGCCGCGTACACGCGCCCCCGCAGAAATTTTAACAAAGAGCGCATTAATGAGAGGGACGCCATGTTGGAAGCCCCGACGACAATTACACTAGGGCTGCACCTTGCACAGAGTTTCTCAAGTTGATTCTGCTGCATCAAATCGGCTGCTCGGCCAGTCTCAGAACTCCATGCGGGGTTCTCCCAACGTGTAGAACCAATAAACGAACCAGACTCATCGATAAAGCTTATATGTGTTATGCCGCTATCACCGCGGTAGGCGGCACACACGCGTCTAAGCGTTTTGCAACCATTGACGTGCATTTGCTTCAATGGGAGGGCTTCGACCACATTCCACTCCGGTTCCCACGTGAGGGCATCGTCATCGTAGACCTCAAGACAAAGTCTTGTGGGTTCATATGGGCCTTGTGCACAAATAAGGCCAAGACGCTCCATAGCCTGTGTTTGCACAAACTGCTGTGCAAACTGGCTGAGCTCGGCCTTCACCTTTGGAATAAGACCATCTATTAGTCGCACCAACAAAAGCTCCATTGCCCGCTCTCGTTCTAAAAACCACTCGTCCGCGGCAGGGGAGCGATCATACAATTGGCGTAGATTCATCTCACGGCAGACTAGTTCCTCACTCAAAACATAGTAGAGTGCCACTGTGCCTTGTCGCTCACGCTCCAGTAAATCAAGATAGTGCCGCGGGTGCTCTACAAAAAAAGTAGCCAATGGATACACATCGTCCCTCCTTTCACAGAGCTTGTACGTCACAATAAGGTCCCCCTCCGCACAAAATAAGTCAAATAAACGCTTTCGAAGGATAGGCAGCTTTGAAAACTGCTCAACAATGGCCTGGTTAAAAAGAAATAATACTGCCTCAGCGGAGCGTGGGGAACGAGCGGTGGCACCAACTTGGCGTGCCCAATCCATCAGTGGCATCGATTGCGGCGACTGACACACGTGAACTGGCGCATTAGCAAGCAGGTTCTCTTGGTACTGCAGTCCAGTAATAGTGTACTCCTCAAATGCGTCCTCAAGACCGAGACCTTTTATCACTTGCGTCGGACCCCGCCCCTGGTCTACGGTAAGGAGACCAGAAAACGTTTGCCAAAGATCTGCCTCAATGCCGCTCTCAAAAACAAGGCTCTCCAGCGCCACCCGCTGCTCCTGCACGCACGACTCCGGGTGATCCTTCAGCTTTAGCAGCAATTGCTGCCGCTGACTTTCTAGCCGGTGACAGAGTACATCGAGTTCAAGGATGCGCACCAACAGGCGACCCAGTTCCAAAAAGCATGGCTTGCGCTGGGCGAAGTCGGCCTCATTGCTGCCAATGCGATTCCACGCAGGGTCACCCTCACCAATCGAACGGTCAGCCAAGGCGTTGAAACCGACGTAGCTGTCGGATATGAACGGACGCTGTCGCCTTCCTGTCTTTATACTGTATGCGTAAGATGAAACGGGCAGTGTACTTTCCGCGGCCTCCGTAAGCGGTGAAGCCTCTAGCAAGGCGCACAAAAGTGGGTGTAACGCAGTCTGATGATACAACATCAAATGCGCAGGTTCCATGTATTCCTGAGTCATCTTTTGTACTGCGTAGGCAATAGAAACCACCACCGGTTCGTCTGCCACCTCTGCCGGCGGACGGGTTGCAATGGCGCAGATGCGCGTATTGTGTGCCAGCGGCTGGCCAGCACCACGCAACTGCCGCAGAATCCAAAAGGCCTCATATTCAAGCGGTATTTTGTAGGAATAGCCGTGCGGCAGAATTCGCGACCCGAGTGCTGGCCGCCTTTCCCGCACCTCGATGGCCTTTAGACGCTCCGGCAATGGATCCTCCGCCATAAGTCTGTCCTCCTCGCCAAGACCGACACGGTGCAGCTGGAGCTCAACGCCGGTGACGGCGGAATCTGCGGCAGTCACGTCTACACCTATCACTTCCGCACGATCCTCTTGGCGTTGAATGTCATTGCGGTGAATCCACAACAGAAACTCCTCGTCATTCATGAGCTGGGACTCATCTGAAAACTCTTCGTCGTTATCATCCTCATCTATGCCGTCGCCTTCGTCCTCCCCCTCTCCCTGTGCCTCGTCCACGTATGTGTTGTCCTGCAACTCCATCAGTGCGCGTCGAAGGTCCTCCTTTGCTCTCTGTTCCCGTAGACGGTCTGCCGCCGTCTTGAGCCGCCCGACGCGCTCCTCCTCATCCTCCGCTTCCTCGTCCACGCAGCTGAAGATTACTTCATTAAACGTCTCGTGGAGGCGCTCAAGGCAAAGTGTGGGGTCGGTTAGACTCGCCACCCACATGGCGCCCGCGAGCACCTCCTCAATGGTGCGCGGCGGCAGTTCCGACGCAATCCCCGTCCCTGTCTCCTCCATTACCCCCTGCTGCTTCTTCCCTCCTGATTCTTTGGCGTGCATCCCAAGTAAAGGCGCATAAATAAAATTAAAAAAAAAAAAATTTAAAGAAATATAAATAAATAAGAAAATTTAAAAAAAACACCACGGAGATCACAAAAAAAAAATAATAATAATAATAAATAAAAAAAAATCAGTTCAAAAAAATATATATAACACTAACGCGTCACAATTGAATATAAAATGACGGCAAACCCACCCCGCATTTACATTGCAAAAAAAAAAAAAAGGTTCCGCATTACAAGACGAGAGCATCCTTTGCAGTCAACTCAAAACAAAAATTCCGTTTTTCATTTTGTTGTTGTTCCGCAGCCTCTTCTTTGTTGTTCTACACCTCTTCGTGCTCTCTTGAAGCAGGCAAAAAAAAAAAGGAAAAAAAGAAAACGTGGGTCAAACATGGACTTCCTTTGTCACAATTGTGAATGCCACCAGTCAGTATAGTTACGATTACAAATTTGTGTGGTACTCAACCGTATTTTTTTTTTTTTTTTTTTTTTATAAAAGTTAAAAGTCAGAGCTTACTACCACTCGTTAAAGTACTTTTTTTGTATACACTACACATGGACTCATACCTTTCCACATCCCACAGGCATCCAAGTGCAATAGGTGTTTTCTGCTCCATTTCTACCACGCGCACATCCATCATATTCTTCGTACCTGTCGTGGATCGTCCACCTGCACACTCCACGAGAAACGCCATTGGTGCTGCCTCAAAAAGCAGCCGGAGTTTTACCTTGTGGTGTGGGCTCTCCGGAGTCATGTAGATACCATCGCCCTTCACGATTATCTGACACACGTCGGCCACCATTCCCCCCGTGTAGCGCAGCGTCGCCCCGCTGTTCATATACGACGTGACAAGTTCTTTATACCACGGCAAGTACATCACCGCGCGAAGATTCCCGGGGGCAAATAAAGTCGCTCTTAACTTGAGAGTGCGCGGGACTTCATTTTGCACACGGGTCCAGCGGTCTCCATGGTAATAAAACTCCACCACGCCCACCGGACGCAACGAAACAAAAAGCACAGTCCGCGGGCCGTATACCGCCACAACACTCGCCACCATATCACGCACGCGCAGCCCAATCGGCGTGGCACCAGGCCAGAGAGCAAAGATCGAACCGACAGAAAAATTCGTCGCGATGATGCTGCTGCCATCCAGCGGGTCATAAGAGACCGTATACATGCCCCGCCCCAAATGCGGTGTCGACGTGAGCGTCGGTCGCTCCTCTGAGACAAACGCCAAAACATGGCGGCAGCCACTGAGGCATGACGAGATGTGTTTTTCCGCCATATCATCCACCGAAAGCACCTCGTCACCAAAACTGTTATTCGCCCCCACCGCCTTCACGACGTCTGTGCGAAGATCTATTGATATCTCGCGGCACGCCTCTGCAATTGCCGCCACAACATCCGCCACCGACGACGGCACCCCCTCACCCGCAAGTTCTTCCAAAAAAGTCGTCGAGCCTGACATCGCCGTAGCCGTCCCTTTTTTGCTGTTGTTATTGTTGCTATGTGTGTGTGTGTGCGGTACCTGCTGTCTTGTACCTGCCTCACCTTCCAGCCACTCTGCAAGCAAAGGAAAAAAAAAAAAAAGCATGTGGGTCAGTTCACAATTATTTTCTGCAAAGTAAAGAAAGGAAAGGCATCTAAAGAAAAACGCAGCATAAATGCACATACCGCCCATAATAAAAGAAAAAACCGACGCCAGCCAACAGAGAATCACAACAAAGAAAAAAGAGAAACAAGTGACCACGGGCCTCCGTAACAGAAAAATTTCTCCTCTCACTCCCCCAACGATATTCTACAACGGCACTCTTAAGCATTATACATAGCAAAAAGCAACAACCATGTGTTTCCGTCAATTTCCTTTTATTCTACAAAATGCATATTAATTCAATAGCCGACAAAAGAATTTAAAAAAAAAATTCCTCATTATCCGCAACCATCAAGTACAAACACAAAAAATAAGTGCCAAAAGCACCCTTAAACCAGTCTCAAAAGCCCCACCTCCCTATGCCTACGGGCTCTGTGGCCTGGCCCCACAAACTACAATCCGCTAGGATATGTTTTAAAACCACATATCGCCATTTGGATTGCACATCGTCTCACAAAGCGCATTCTTACTGCTGGCGGTTTCGTCTCACATTGCGCCAAGATACTGTGAAATGTGAAATGGCAGAGCAAACGTTACCTCAGCGTCCTCATGGGCGTTGATTTCCTTTGGCCATGCGATGAACCGCCATCCCCGCACTGACGGCTTGTCCAACACCGCCGCAAAAGGCACCGCCGGCCCACCCCGCGACGGGCACTTCCATGGCTCCACAAATAATACCCGCCCTTTTCACAAGCAGCGCATGCTGTGCGGAGTTCCGCAAATTTAGTTCTTTCCCATCGCTCGTCGAGGTGACGGATCGTAACACAGTGTCCTTCCACAAATCGTCAACACAGTCGCGTGCCGTTGGATTCATCCGCAGTCGGATCCACTTCGGGGAGTAAAAGTGCACAGGTCCACTCGTCGCTAGGGACAAGCAATCCTCCTTCTCCTCCCGCAACGCAACCCGACGGCGATGGGTGAGCCAAACGATGCTGTGGCCCTCAGAAAATATGGTCGTGTGCCGTCCTTCCCCGGCGCCAATTGTGCCCACAGCACCGTCGCCCGGTGCGCCAACTAGTTTCCACCAACAGTGACAGCTGCACGACGTGTTGGGGAGGTGTCCCACGGCATCACCACGAGCGCGGCGTTGAGGAAACCCATGCCGCCCGGTCACACCCGGAAATTGATGATGTTGCCCCGCCTGTGCCGGCCCAGAAGGCATTGCTTCCGGAGGAAAAATCCCTTTTTGTGTGTTTATAGGCCTCCTTGCGCAGCTTCACTCGGCACGCCGTGTTGCATTGTCCAATCCAACCACATTCACAGCATCGTGCTTCATTGGGCAGGGGTGCGGCATGCTCTTTCTTTGCTCTCTGAACCGCCTGGGGGAAAGGGCGGTCCCATTTCTGGGCACCTCGATAACACCCTGAATATCCTCGACCCGCACTCCGGCATCGTTATTCACTGTCCCGAGGATCCATGTGACCGAGTGTAGGCAGTCGCCCTGACAACTGGCAAGATTCCATGAGCATCTCTTCTCCGCGAATGGTGCACACCCAGGACACACCGTTCTCCTCACGGCTGTCTGCATGCCGGGACCTGGCGCACCCGGCGTCGGAAAGGTGACCCAAGACGCATCCAGGAGCTGTGGCCAGGCGTTGCATCCATCATGCATTTCAATACGCCGTCAAATGGTGCGACTGCAATCCTCCGTACAAATCCCTGCCTCCCACAGATTCCCCACTTGGTCCCCCGTGTGCCCCGTGAGCCGAGTAACTGCTCTAATCCCCCTGGCACGTCATGAATTTGCAGGATCTTTCGATTTTCTCTGCCGTATGGGAAGCATTCCAACTTCCCGCGGCAGAAGTGGTGATGACCCGGGACGAGCCTGACTGAGTGCTGATGCACGCCAGCTTGTCGTCCCATTGTTGGCTATGAGCAAATTTTGCAACGGCGCCAATCGGATGCGCACCGCATGGAACTGCGCCGTGGGCATCTGAGCTGCACGCCAATATTTTTTAGCCTCCAACTGAGCCCGGGCACACTCATATGGGCCAGTGCAGCGCCAACTGCCTTCTTTCAAGTGCCGCCCAATTGCTCCAAACAGTGGTGTGCTTCTTCATCTTCAGAGAGGCTCGAATGGACTCAGGGTTCCTCGGCACGGTGATGGCAGCGACAGAGTGTCGTAACATGATGCGATTCATTCCTTTCTCTTGGCCCCGCCTCGTAGCTAGTTCACCGCCCACGTGGTGGCTCAATGGCGGGCTGGTCGCTGGGAAAAAAACAGATGGAAGAAAGTGCCGTTGGATCTCACGACCTCAGAGAACGTGGGGTATTTCTCGTGGACACCGTTCAATCCATAAACCCTCTTACAGACACTTCCCTTTTAAGAAATGTGCTTAAAAAAAAAGAAAAAAATCTACACATGCAATAATGCATTGGAGAGAGAAACGCATGTATGGGTTGTGGGCATTTTTATCCGAGACACGTGACATCAAGCCGAAACATTCCCCTCGCAAGCCGTCAAGAATAATAAAAAAAAAATAAAAAAATGAAGTAAAAAAAAAAAAATCAACAAAACGATCGTGGATGCACGTACCGTTTCAAACGTAATTCCTACATATTTATTGAATTATTTGCCTCAATAGATACAAGTCACTGATATTCATGGGTACATATCTCTCTCTGTATATGTATATATATATATATGTTCATACATTAATAAATGTATGTAAAGAGAAAAGGAAAATACATGGTTTCTTGAAATGTATTTGCCAATACATATTTCATTATCATAATCAAACACAACAGCAACAGCAACAACAACACAAGAAAAACAAAAAATAGATACATCCGGTTCAAAAACAAGGATGGGTACATCCAAGGTGTGTCTGCGTCCGTGTCAGTATACAATGATCCACATTCCACACTATTACAATATACATACAAATAAAGAAGAAGCAATGAAAACCTCAATAAAAAAAAAAAAAAAAAACACACGCAACAAAAAAAAAGAGAAAAAAAAAAAAAAAGAAGGTAAAGGACTCGTCCACGGAAAAAAATGCCAAATACATTTATTCACTAAATAAAAAAAAAAAAAAATCAGATTCTGGGATTCCAATCGGCGCGGTGATATTCGGTTCAGAAAAACGCAAGGTTGGTGGATGATGAAGTCCTAAACCCCCCACTCCACCCCTCTTCTACTTCCTCGTCACAACACATAGTACGAGGCATGAGCAACAAAGCACAGAAAAACAAAGAAGACAAAAAGAAGGGAAGAAAAAAAAAAAAAAAAGGTGCGACAAGTATCAACACCCCATCGACCGAGGGCAGATGATGCCTTCGTAGTAAATATAAAACTCACATCTGCAGAATGCAAGAGAATACTCTCCAGAAGGAAAATGACCGA